GCAAAGGAAGGGCCCTAGGACAGTGGTTGGCAAACTCATTAGTCAACAGAGCCAAATATCAACAGTACAACGATTGAAATTTCTTTTGAGAGCCAAATTTTTTAAACTTAAACTATATACTGTAGGTAGGTACATTGTTATTAACTTAATTAGGGTACTCCTAAGGCTTAGGAAGAGCCACACTGAAGGGGCCAAAGAGCCGCAGTTTGCCGACCACAGCCCTAGGAGCTTGGGTGGGAGGATGGTAATGGTAATGCGCCTAGGAAGAGGGGGACTTGGGGAGAGGGAAAAGGCCAGAGCCTTCTGGCGGCTCCCAAGAGGGAGCTGCACTGAGTCCTCCTTCCTAAGGGTTTTAAGGGGGAGATTTTAGGGGCGGTCCCAGGGAAAGATCTTAATAGAATATTTAGCAGCTTTCCAGGTGTGTCCTTTCAGGGGGTGTGGTCTCTCTCCACTGATTGGTTGGTGGGCACCAGGGCATGGGGGCATTATTCAATGCAGCTGGTCCTGAGGTCAGCTGTGGCTGGTTTTGTTGCTTATCTGAGCCTGGAGCTGAAATACGACTGAGGCCTAGATGTTATCTCTAGAGAGGAAAGGTCAGGGGGTTCAAATCGCAGGACCAGCTATATCAGGGGTGGACAAACTTTTTGACTCGAGGGCCACAATGGGTTCTTAAACTGGACCGGAGGGCCGGAACAAAAGCATGGATGGAGTGTTTGTGTGAACTAATATAAATTCAAAGTAAACATCATTACATAAAAGGGTATGGTCTTTTTTTTCAATAGTTTTATTCATTTCAAACTGCCCACGGCTGAGCTATATACTAAGGGAGGAAAGATCACCCTGGGGGCAAGGTCCCACCCTACGATTGTCCTTTGCTAGGCACCCAGGGCTTTCCACCCTGGTGACTTTCTGTACCTGGCCCATCATCCTTGCTCTGCTCATGTCTGTCTAACTGCCTACCACAAACTAATTACCTTTCCCCAAAGTAAATGATGGGGAAACGGTGGAGGCAGGGAGGGAGGAGACAGGAGCTTATGGTCTCCAGTTGGAACCCACATTTCCCAGGTTGAAATCCAAGATTGATTGTGCAGATGGCAGGGATCCTAATCCAGTATTGTTTGTGTTTATCTTCAGGACTCTAATGCTGTCTCACTTCCGGACACAGACTGTGCGAGTCAGTTAGTTACCAGGAAACCCCTGGGTGGGCCCCGGCTGCCTGTCGCAATGTCCAATAACGAAGGCAGGGTTGAATCATATAAGGCACTTATTGAGAAGGCCAGCCAACCAAGAAGACAAGGGGCTTACAAACATCCCAAGCCGGCCTTACAGCAAGGTGTCGGGGACAGGATTATATAGGGAAAATGGACTGGGCTGAAGTTGGGAACAGAATGCGATTACATGCAGTCCTGCAGGTCAGCAGACGTCAACCATTGTTCTTGGTTGTCAGGCAATGAGATGATGGCTTGGCTCCTGGTGGGGTCGGCCTGATCATGCTTAACAGTTCTGCTTGCCTGCTGGGTACAGTGTACATTGTCTGCAGCTGAATCACCTCCTCCATCACTTTGTTCGGGATCAAAGTGGGTACGCAGGTGCACTGGCCTGAGACATGAAACTTAGATTAAAAAAAAAAAAATTAACCCTCTGTTCCCATATAAGAAACTTAACTCTCTGCTCCCATGCATATATGTATTTTAGAATTTCAAAATAATGTCATTATTTTTTAGATTAACTCAGGTGCTCTAGCTATCAAATGATACGTCCCTCTACCCAATGGACATGAGGTAGGAAGGAAGATGAGTGTGGAGCATGACGCAGGTCTGCTGCCTCCACCGGCTGTCTGAGCTCTGCAGGAAACGCACGACAAACCCTTCACTGAGGACCCTGCAGCTGAGAAACAACTAGTGCGACTTGGAACCCAGACAAGGATGAGAGGTTCTCCTCATTCCTTCATGGGTGTGACTACACTGGAGAACAGCTTTGGCTGGGATGTCGGTGCTCTCCGGGTGGCAATCAAATACATGGAATGATGAGATGTCTTGGAGCCCTTTTTTCGAGAAGACATTGAGGGCTGTGGGTGCTGGAACCATGCCAGTAGCTCATTCTGACAGACTAGTTCATCAACACTTAGGAGGCACCTCTTGGGGGCATGTTATTTACCAGGGTGAGCTTATGAGGAGAGTTAAATGTCTTGCACCGGGAGATGTGGTTAAGAGCCAGGGAATTACAAGTCATTCCAACTAATGTGGCTCCATTTGTTTCCTGGCTAGTGACATTTCAGGAAACATAGTTATATATAAAATGTTCTTCATTGTTTTCCAAATGTCTCCGCTAGTTTTAAGTCCTCAAGTAAATATTAAGTGTAATATGTCATATCTCTTGCCTACCCGTCCCACCTTATTCCTTTTAGGGTTCTGTTCCTAGTAGTATGACATCCTTGAGCAACACACGTGCATACACCTGGTGTGCCTTCTTTAGCACACTGGAGGTGCCAATGGTCTTCACTCCAGGTCAACAGAACATGCCCAGTTTCCTTCCCTAGGCACCAGATCCAGTAATTACTCAGGCAAAGTGAACTAAACCTTCCCTTGAGATATATACACCTGTCCAATTCCGTCCAATGGAAGGAGTTTACCTTTGCGGCTGGTATGAATCATGTTTTCCACCAGAGAGGCCTCTTGAAAAACAGGAGAGACTCAGGGCTTCATGTTTCTTTGTATTCTTTACTTATCAAGAAAAACTATTTTTTACTTATTATGCCTTTGAGACTGCCTCCAGGTGGGGCATAACACAGCATCAGGGGCACCTCCTCATTTCTCATGATGGAGTCAGACAAGGAGAGAGAATGTGGATAGAAGCAGATATTAACAAGATTTAATGGAGAAAAAGACAGCAGCCCTCCCCCTCTCGCCTCCCCCCCCCCCCACCTCCATTGTCAGTGTGGAGGCAGGCGTTTGTGTGCACGAGGGTGCATGGTGGTGGGTGTCAGGGCATAAGCTGAAGTCCTGAACTCTTTTAAGAAAGCTGTAGGGGAAAAAATGTTCTTTTCAGTGGCTGTGATGTGAGACCAGCCTAGGTTATTGGAGCCAGTTCATACCCAGTGTAACATTTCATTTATCTGTAGCTGAGTTGGAGGATGTAAGGTACACCAAACTTTCAGAAAAACCAGAACACCCCTTTATGTTCCATCACATATACATTATGTATTAATTAAATCTATGACTTTTTTTTTTCAGGAATCCATACTGTGCATACGGATGGTCTCAGGGCACACAACATTATTTCTGATACAGAAAATAACACAAAAGCCATTGTCACAGTAGTTGGAAATTTTAATAGAAAAAGAACCTTGATTTACATATAAGGTTTAAATTGCTTGATGAACATGTTAATATAGACTTAATTTTATTGAAACATATTTGATATATAACATTGTGTCAGTTTAAGGTGTACAGCATGTTGACTTGCTACATTTTTACATTGTAATATGATTGCAATTGTTTGACATATTTTGTGGTGGGACTAATTAAGATCTAGTGTCTTAACAAGGTTGATGATTACAACACAGTATTATTGTCTATATTCACTGTCCTGTGCATTAGATTTCCAGAACTTCTTTATCTACTAGTTGCAAGCTTGTACCCTTTAACAGAATCTCGTGTCCCCCGCCCCCTCCAGCCCCAGATAACCATCTTTTAAATTTGAAGGCATTCCAACAGACAAACATTTTGCAACCCGGAGAATAACTGATGATCTCGTGCTCGGCCAGCTGACTGTGTTCTGGGTCACACAGAACTTGACATTTGCAGGCTATTCAGTATCTACCTAGAAAATTCCAATTGCTCCAAACATACCATTCATTTGGGTGTTTTCATAAAAATGTTCAGGGTTAAGAGAACTTTTATATCACCGAATTTACATTTCTAATGGTGGCAAACCCTTCCTTTACTGATGTAATTTCCCAAGACCTTTCACTAGCTCCTTAGCCACCAAATAATTCCCTGTTCTGCTGCTTTCCTAGCATCTTGAACCTGGGGGTCATCAAAGCATTTTTTTTTAAACAAAGCAAATACATTTTCCTAATAGTGGCTAAGGAAATGAAAATTTCTCCATATGATTACAATCTACAATGACAAACCAGCAGCATTCCTCTCTCTTGCTCTCTTTTGCCTACCCTGTTCCTACCCCTATGGGTGAGACATTTATTTTTAAAGAAAGGTATTATTTTGGTTTCTAGCATACTTTACAGAATCCTTTTTTAAAATAGTAGTTTGTTTGTTTGTTCTTTTATTTATTTATTTGGAGAGGAACAGAGAGGGAGAAGAGAGAAACATCAACATGAGAGTGTAACATCAATTGGCTGCCTCTTGCATGCCCCCACCAGGGATCAAGTCGGAAACCTGGGCAGGTGTCCTGATGGGGAATCAAACCGGCAACTTTCAGTGCATGGGACGATACCACACTGACCAGGGCCAGAATCCTTTTTAAAAAAGTCTTCACATGTTGTATTACGATTGCAGGGAGAGCAGAGTGAAGGCAAAATCTCCCCCATGTGCCTCTCGAACCTCTGTAGTGTGATTGACTGACCCCATTACTTGGAGATATGTCGCTTCTGGATTTGACTTATTTTCTGCTATTTTTCAAACTATGGTCCCACCTCAGTTAATAGGACGATTGAACTGCTGTCAGGTAGGACATCTAGATTAAGGATAATCTAGGGCAGTGGAGAAAGAAGGCAGGAGAGAGAGAGAGAGAGAGAGAGAGAGAGAGAGAGAGAGAGAGAGAGAGAACACCAGCCCTATCTAAGCTCTAAGCTTTGGTCCCCCAGCCTTTGGGTGAACCTAGAACATTCCGGTAATGGATCTCAAATGACACCAGTGATGGGAAAGCATTGCAAAAATGGACCAGTGTTACAGATGTCAATTGGGAAATGGCCCCTTTACCAAGCCACAGGACCTTACACGCCTGCCCCTACCCCCCGCCCCCCCGCCCCCCCGCCCCCAACTTAGTCCCTCTCCTGAAACTCCCTGAGCAACTCAAGCAACTCACAGTCCTGACCCAATCCAGGACTGTGGCCACACTCTTAGTCCATGCCTACGCCATACTCATAGTTAAATATTTTGATACCAACTGCGAGAAGGGGTTTTGCTTCCCTGCCAGGAGTAGCCCTATGGGCACCACCTCCTGATTCCTCATTACTCCACGAAAGATGCCGAAGGGCTGAGGCGTCCGGAGTTCACACCCCTCTCAGAGTTTTCATCTGCTGGCTGCCATTTCTCATTCAGCTCCTCAAGACACGCCAAGATACGCAGAGCCTCGGGATCGTCTCTATTTCTGGAAAGCCTGGCTTTGGCAATACCTCGCAGTTTGTATTCCATCTTTCCCGTCGCCTTTAGGTCCTGGTTTATTTTCACGCCCTCTAGAAAGTGGTGGATGGCCTTGCTTTCACACTTCATTTGAAACCACTGAAAGTTGCCATATCGGAGATGGAGCACTTGCCGGTCTACAGCCGTGAGCTCTTTGCTGAATTCTCTCTGGAAATAATATTCTGCTTCTTCGTACTGACCCGCCTGGAGGTGGAGGCAGGCAAGAAAGGAGCCGACATTGGCGAGGTTTCCGTTGAGCTCATCAGCTCTCTTCAGATGACCCACAGCGTGTCTGATCAGTTCCTGGTAGTCCTCTCTCTCCCCATACCCTCCTCTCAGGCCTCTCTTCTCATACTCGTGGACTTTTGCCCGATAGCACACCCCAAGATGGCAATGCAGGTAGGGGTTGTTTGGCGAGCATTCGACAGCCCTTTTAAGCAGTTCGATAGCTTTGTCCACGTCATTTTTTTTCCGATACAGCATTGCTGCCCCGCGAAGCACATCTATGGCACAGGGGGCTTTCTCCACAGCTTCTTCAACTAACCTCTCTGCTTCCCTTTCCTCGTTCATCTTCTGCAGTTTCAGAGCCAGGAGGACTTTAATATACTGGTTGTCAGGATTGAGCCGAATGGCCTGCCTCAGCGCATCGATGGGATTCTTAGGCCCTGACCACTCATCCAGACGGTAGCTGCAAATGGCCAGTCCCGAGGTGTACTCGGGGTGCTTCGGGCACTTTTCCAGACACTTCTCAAAACACGCCTTTGCCCTTTCCGTGTACTTTCTTCCGCACTTCAGCCGCGACCACCCTTCTTCGCAGTCCAGCTCAGGACCCTCCATTCTGTAGGGGCTGGAAAACTTCTTGCACGTTTCTCGGACCTTGTCCACGTAGACTTGAGCCTCCGAGTGTCTGCCCATGTGATAGTAGACCCAGGCGTAGTTGCCCCAGGTGACCAGGCTTCGGAGTTCTGCTTGGTCAGGGTGCTGCTGCTGGATCAACGCTTCGGCTTGCCGCAAGCATTCCAGCGCCTCCTCGCCTAGGCCTCTGTGGTGTTTTATGTAGGCCAGCAAGTTGTACGCCGTAGCTTTGAACTCGCCGTTCTGCAGCTCGGTCTGGTGACACACTCTGTCTTCAAAATCATCCAGGGAATTTTCTCCCCCTAAGTTCCAGGTGAAGTGGCATTTTAGCCGCCGTAGACTGCTCTCCAAGGAGTTCTCGGTGGCCTCGCTGTGGGGAAAAGCAGAGAGATGGACATGTGAGACACAGCACAGACTCACCCGGCACAAAGCAGGGAGCAAGACAAACGCAGTCCTCCTCCGAAAGGGAGCGAACCCCAATCAAAAAAGAATATTGCCCGGACGGCATGGCCCAGTGGTGGAGCGTCACCCTATGAACCTGGAGGTCACAGTTCGATTCCCGGTCAGGGCACATGCCCAGGTTGCGGGCTCGATCCCCAGTGTGGGGTGTGCAGGAGGCAGCCGACCAATGATTCTCTCTCATCATTGATGTTTCTCTCTCTCCTCCTCCCCTCCTGTATGAAATCAATAAAAATATATTTTAAAAAACATTTCCTTTTTAAAATTTCTGTATTTTGGCATATGCGTTCAAGCACGGGGAAGCAGAAATCAAGTGACTGGGCAATGGAAGAATTAGGGAGAGGACAGTGGGCAGGTTTCCCTAAGGAAGGTAGCTTTGTTAGGGTGGCCAGCCCTCTGCTCTCTTCTTGGGGGGCCTCTGCAGGGGCAGCCAAAGCTGTAGAACTGATTCCAGTGGAGGCTTTCTGTGCTTTCTGGGAAGGCTAGTTCATTGATTTTTGTTTGTTTCTGTTCTTCCTCCTACCTAGCATTCACTTAAAAAAAAAAAAAAAAATATATATATATATATATATATATATACACACACACACATATACATACATATATACATATACATACATATACATACATATATATACACATATATACATATATGTGTGTGTATATATATATATATGTATATATATATATATATATATATATAATTGATTTCAGAGAGGAAGGGAGAGGGAGAGATAGAAACATCAATAATGAGAGAGAATCATTGATTGGCTACCTCCTGCATCCCCATACTAGGGATCAAACCCACAACCCAGGCATGTGCCCTTGACCAGAATCGAACACAGGACCCTTCAGTCCACAGGCCGCTCTATCCACTGAGCCAAACCAGCTAGGGCTGACATTCACTTTTGAACTGTAGCTTTATAATTTTGTCTTCTTTGAACATTTTGCCAACCTGATTTTAATCTTGGCTACTCCTCTGAGATTCAATGCCATATTAGCATCTACACTTTTAATTCCTTGGTTTCCTTTAATTTTTCTTTTTTATCTCTATTACTTTCTATTTCCTGCCTAATTATTTGAGCTTTTCCTATGTACTTAATTGAGTTTCTTTGTTTAGCCAAACCTTTTTAAAATCAAATCGGTTTTGTCTTTTTATTTTGACATTCTATTGCCTTGTTTTAAAATTTTCCATTTTAACCATTTAAATCTTAATTTCAACCATTCTTTTATTTTTTAAAAAATATATATTTTATTGACTTTTTTATAGAGAAGAAGGGAGAGGGATAGAGAGTTAGAAACATCAATGAGAGAGAAACATTGATCAGCTGCCTCCTGTACACTCCCTACTGGAGATGTGCCCACAACCAAGGTACATGACCTTGGCCGGAATCGAACCTGGGGCCTTTCAGTCCGCAGGCCGACGCTCTATCCACTGAGCCAAACCAGTTAGGGCTCACCATTCTTTTAAAAATATATATTTTTATTGATTTCAGAAAGGAAGGGAGAGGGAGAGAAAGAAACATCAGTGATGAGAGAGAATCACTGATAGGCTGCCTTCTGTACATCCCACACTGAGGATTGAGCCCACACCTCAGGCGTGTGCCTTGACTGGGAGTTGAACCATGACCTCCTGGTTCATAGGTCAATGTTCAACCACTGAGCCATGCCGGTCAGGCTTAATTTCAACCATTCTTAATTTTTACTAATTTCCCCTACATTTTTATTTTTTACCTCCTAACCTGATTAATCTATACTAATAAAAGCCTAGGTGGTCCTCGTGCGTGCGTCGTAGCCACAAGATGGAGGCAGCCGCTCTGCGCAGAGGAGGCCGGTCCCGGCATCTCAGGCGGGTCGTGGCAGGGGAGGGCAGTTGTGGGTCATCGGGCCTGCAGGGGAGGGCAGTTGGGGGCGATCAGGCAGGCAGGGGAGCAGTTAGGCATCAATCAGGCCTGCAGGGGAGTGATTAGGAGGCAATCAGGCTGGCAGGTAGGAGAGCGGTTAGGAGCCAGTGGTCCTGGATTGTGAGAGGTTATATCCAACTGCCGGTTTAGGTCTGATCCCGGACATCCCCCAAGGGGTCCCAGATTGGAGACAGTGCAGGCCTTGCTGAGGGACACAACAACCCCTCCTCCCCCCCTACACGAATTTCATGCATCGGGCCTCTAGTATTATATATGTTAACAATGTCTTAAACTTTTATTGTGGAATAAATATAATCACTCCCACCCCCAACTTCTTAGGTTGTTGATTTCTGTTCTTAACATGTTTTGTTGAGTTGATTTAGTAATAATTTTGCATTTGTTGTTTAATAATTTTCTTTTGAAATTTTATTTTTCCTCTTCTGTGGATTGCTTTCATGACAAGGTGTTAGACGTGTGGCTACAAGAGGAGGCTCACAAAACAGCCAGCTTTCTCTCTCACAGGAAAGGCTCTCTTTCACTTAGGGCGCCCTAGGAACTCTTCTAGAAACATTTCTCATTCCCTTTAGTGTTGGTCCTTAAAACAAGCAAACAAATGAACAAACCCAACCAAATAGAAACAGCAAACAGACAAATAACCCTGTCTTGAATAACTTCGCTGATGAGGAGGTTATAACTCACAAATAGCACCAAATTGTTTTTCTACATTGCCTAGACCAGTGGTCGGCAAACTTGCGGCTCGGCAAACAGCAGCTCACGAGCCACATGTGGCTCTTTGGTCCCTTGAGTGTGGCAGTATTTTGTGGAAGACCCACACTCAAGGGGCCAAAGAGCCGCATGTGGCTCGCGAGCTGTGGTTTGCCGACCACAGGCCTAGACACTGGAGTCTCTGAAAAGTTGCTTTTGCTCATTTAAAAAAATTTTTATGATATATATTCCCTGGCCCTTTTATCAGGAGCTGATATTCTAAATAGTATGGATTCTGACATGAGCAGCCAAGACATTACACAATCATGTAATGTGGCAAGGATCGATCACTTTTGAAATATTTGCCCAAATGAAAGATTATATTCCCTCATTTGCTCCTGTCCCCTAGCTTTCACATTGTATAGCCCCTTCCACCTCACAATTTGATTGGACCATGGCTGGGGACCCAGACGCAAGAGGAAGCTGGGAATGGAACTGAGAGGGAGCGAGGGAGCCTGAGGTGGTTTTCACACATTAAGAAGGGAACTGTGCAGGTTGGGGGTCTGATGGGACCGCATTCTGCATTATGTACTGCAGAGAGGGACTCAGATGCACTTGGATAGGACAGGGTCTGGGTCCCCCAAGCGCCCCAGTGTCCTGTTCTAGTCCTCCTGGGGTTGCTATGGTCCTGTGTGTGGAGTCCTGGGAATCATTCCAGGAACTTTAAATCAGCACCTGCTCATTTCTGTTACTTGAAACAAATGGAAACTTAACTACCCCAAGTAGAATAAAAAAAATATAGGAGGGAAGTGGGTAGGGATTTCCTCTCAGGGAAGGAACCTGTGTTCTTTCAAAGACCCAGGCGGGTCTTAGCGAAGGGCTAGGTTGTCTGAAGTCTCCTGTGTAACCGGGAGGGTGGGGCAGAGCCCAGGAGCGTGACTTGCTTGGCGTCTGCATTGTAATGACAGCAGCCTCCCCTTGGAAAGCTGATGTCCAATCTCACCTACTTTCCTTCTCAGTGAGCTCACAGGAAGATTTCCTAAAGCACATGAGCTTTCTTAGCTCCTTTCTCATTTTAGAACAGAAACACAGAGAATGAATACAGCTGAAATGATCTCAGACATAGTTAGTTGTGCATTTGCAGGATAGAGACAGTTAATGTACACACTTACATACAATCCCTGTGAGCAGCCCTTCGAAAGGCAACCAATTTCACTGCATAATTATGGATTATTTTGTCCACCGGCAAATCAGAAGCTGGTCCCAATACCTGCTTCCTGGACATATGCTTGTGACGTATGCTCCTGATGCCCCTGGAAGTCCTAACTGTTTACAGCACAATGTGTTTGCCCTGCTTCAGGTCTGGAGGAAATCCACAGGGACACTGTTCCCCAGGCCAGAGCGCGTGCTGCCTCCGCAGTGAGTGAGAGCAGTAGCAGTAGCAGCACCACCCAGGAGGACCCTGTTAGACAGCGGTTCTCAACCTTCTGGCCCTTTAAATACAGTTCCTCATGTTATGGTCCAACCATAAAATTATTTTTGTTGCTACTTCGTAACTGTAATGTTGCTACTGTTATGAATCGTAATGTAAATATCTGATATGCGGGATGGTCTTAGGCGACCCCTGTGAAAGGGTCGTTTGACTGCCAAAGGGGTCGCGACCCACAGCTTGAGAACCACTGCTGTTAGAGCTGCACACCCTTGGCCCTCATCCCAGCTCTGCCCAATCAGAATCTGGGGGTTGAGCCCAGGAATCTCTCTTTAACAAATTCTCCAGGTGATTCATATTTGAGCTCAATGCCTGGTGAGGGTGCCTATAGCTAAAAATCAAATTAGAAGAGAGACTGATGGGTCTGTATGATCATAAGAAAGATTCGATGAGAGGACCATGCTGAAATTCTAAGTAGAAACAATGCTGAGTTACTATAGCAACACACATCTGGAAATATCTCAGATCTTTTCTTTTTTTCTATCAGGCAAACATGGAGACTAACAGAAAAAAAAATATCTTTCCAGAAGAGAGACCAGGAAACTTCAAGACGGGTGGCAATGTGCCCTCCAAAGGTAATGCTGGGGCCGGTGTCCCTGGGTTCTGGAGCTCCCAGGAACGAGGCTTGGGCGTCCAGTCTGGTCACCCCGTCCTCAGACTGGAGAAAAAAGCAAGCTGTCTTCCTACCCAATAAGCTAGTACTTCCTCCTCAGGGCAAACTTCTGTTTCTGAGGATCATCTCCAGTTTATACTTCAGACAGGACGACTCTAGCCAATCAGTTGAATTTGGGGGTAAATTATATTTCTGTTAATGAATGAATGAATGAATGAATGAAAAATGCATTTGGTCCGTCCTGATGCAGATCTGAGATGAACTGTAAGCACAGAGAAGGACAAGTACCATATGATTTCACTCACATGTGGGATCTAATGAACAAAATAACCAAAAAGCAAAATAGAGACAGACTCATAGGGAGCAGGCTGACAGGTGGGGGGGGGGGGGGGGGGGAGGGGGGAGGGGGAGGAATGGGCCCGCAGAGGGATTGAGCCAAAAAGGGAAAGAACTTACTGACAGGGACAACAGTGTGGTGATGGGAGAGGAAGGTGAAGGTGGGAGAGGGCATGAGGGATAAGAATGAACATTTAACAACGAACGAACAAACAAACCTAACAGAATTTGAACATAAAAAAGTAAATAAATTCCACCTTCACAGGAAGCGGGTTGCTACCCTGAGTGCATTTTAAACACTGCTCAAAACACACACACACCCACCACCACCAACAAAAACACTGCTGACACTCTAAACGTTGTTCTTATTTTGTTAACTAAGAATCTTACTTAAAAAACTCCTCACGTAGTTCTTCAAATAAAGAAACAAAAAGGAGTCTCCAGGATGGCACCCCCTCCCCCTGTCCTCTCCCTCCGCCTCCCCCGCTCCCTTAGGAACTCAGCTCTCGGCTTCCCCGGGGCCGGTCGCCCTGAGGAAGCAGAAGACGGACTCGGCAGTAAACAAGCCCGCAGCCTAGAGACAGGAGCCTGGGGAAGGCTGCGAGCAAACTCGCAGGCAAAGCTTGCGGGGCGCCGGCCCGCTGGGAGCGCCGCTGAGGGTTTGCGTCCGCAGCAGGACTGGTCGGACTCTCCCAGCGCCGCAGGGAATGCCTACCTCATGGTCGCCGCGTCCTTCTCCGCTGTGCTGTGCTGCGGGGAGGCTGCTGTGCGGGCTGCTGTGCTTGCTCCCCAGCCACCTTCCTCCTCTGTCTGCAGCCAGGGCTGAAGACACCTATATATGGGGGCACCCCCGTTTCTTCGCCTTGTCTTTCGGCAAAAGGCTTTGGGAAAGGGAAACTGCAACTGCAAAGTGAAACGGGCAGGGCTCCAAGGGAACGGAAGCTTCAGGAAGAGCCACGGGGGGTGGGGGGTGGGGTGGGCGGTGAGTCAGAGGGAACTGCCCTTGGTGAATTGTGTTGATGTCCTGCATCAGCTGACATCCAGGGCGTCCAGCGGGGAGGGTACAGTTTCCCAGCACCCCGCCTCCTTATTGCAGTGGTCAGTGGTCACCCACCCTCACCCAGCCCACCCTGATCGCCAATAGGACTGGCCGGCCGCTGCCAGGAGCCGTTAGGTAACCTCCAATGGGAAGGCGGTCTTTGGTCAGTTTCATTCACTGCTGAACCTCTTTTTTTTTTTTTTTATAAATATTTTATTGATTTTTTACAGAGAGGAAGGGAGAGGGATAGAGAGTTAGAAACATCGATGAGAGAGAAGCATGGATCAGCTGCCTCCTGCACTTTCCCCACCGGGATGTGCCTGCAACCAAGGTACATGCCCTTGACTGGAATAGAACCTGGGACCCTTCAGCCCGCAGGCTGACGCTCTATCCACTGAGCCAAACCGGTCAGGGCATGAACCTCCAGTTCTTACAATAATACATGGCACACAGCAGGCATTCAAAAGTAGTTTTTTAAAAAAATACATACATATTTTTACTGATTTCAGAGAGGAAGAGAGAGGGAGAGAGAGAGAGAAACATCACTGATGAGAGACAATCATTGATCGGCTGCCTCCTGCATGCTCCCCACTGGGGATCAAGCCCGCAACCTGGGCATATGCCCTGACAGGGAATTGAACCGGGACCTCCTGGTTCATAGGTTGATGCTCAACCACTGAGCCACCCTGGCCGGGCAGTAGTTGTTGAATGAATGAATGCAGGATAGAACGGTGGACTCTGATGTCAGCTCCTCCAGATTAGAAACCAGGCTGCTTTTGAATGCTGGGCCACTAGCAATGATTGAATGGCTCCATGTTTGAGTCTCTTCCCCTTGAAATGGAGGTAATACTCTACCAACTCACAGTGGTGTCTGGGGCTCACACGGGTGGATACACGAAACACATTCTTCTAGGGAGAATAATGCCCGGCACACAATAAGGAAATGTTAGTTTTTATTTTAATTAATAACGCAGCGCTTTAACCAAAGCGACCAGAAGGGAAACTTGCGACATTGGCTTTTTCCAGAGCTTTCGCCTCTCTGACATCTCATGACTCATCGTCACTGACTCAGGGAAAACAGCCCGTGACCTCTCTACACACCGCTGGCTTCCCTGAGGTCCACACCCCTGTAAGCCCCCATGGGTCGCCTTGGTATTCTGCACCCCCACACCACACTGGGCAGCCGTAGTGGTGTGTTCTGATAGAGGAAGTGTACCTTCTTTGCTCTCTCCTTATTCATACCCTTAATCACAAAGGGATTGCCGTGTACATAGACCCAAGGGGGGGACGCTAATAGCACCTGGTTTCTTTGAGGCCAGGAACTTACACAGAGCCTGGGAGAAACTGAGGCTGACTGAGGCTGACGAGCCAGGTGGTTGGGTCTTGGAGGAAGGGTGATTTATTGCGCATTTTTCTGCCCAGGACCGGGTGGAAGCTACGCTTCTTGCAATCCTATACCCTTTTATTAGGCTACACAGCTAAGCCTATGCCCGTTGGAAATCTGTTCTTTTAGGTCTCACTTTTCTTACAAGTTCTTTTACGTACTTATTGAAACGTATTGTTAAATGTGCAAGAAGTGCCGAACTAGGAAATTAGGAACATTGTGGGTTTTGTTTTATTTTTTTGGAATTGGCACGCAAGGAAACAGTTAGACATGTTTCAGTCCTATTCATGAAGGTGCTGGGTGGGGAGAAGCTCAGGGAAAGCACGTGGCCACTGTGTTGTGAAGCGCCTAGATCAGCGGTTCTCAACCTGTGGGTTGCAACCCCTTTGGGGGTCGAACCACCCTTTAACAGGGGTCGCCTAAATACATCCTGCATTTACATTACGATTCATAACAGTAGCAACATTACAGTTATGAAGTAGCAACGAAAATAATTTTATGGTTGGGGGTCACCACAACATGAGGAACTGTATTAAAGGGTCGTGGCATTAGGAAGGTTGAGAACCACTGGCCTCCATGTACGGATTCACCTTTCAGGAGTCTGTATGGCCACAGGCCGGTGTGATCTCAGCAGGGATGAGTCACCTGCTCTGGCTGCTGGGCTAGAGTGAGAGTACATGGTGTGACTGGGAAATAGAAACTGGAAAGGAAAACCAACTCTCTCCTGGCAATAGTTTCTGTTTTGAGAAAAATGAAACGAGACTTCCTATTACTCTGCTTGTTACAAATATTCCTGTCTGTCTTTACATAGGCCTCAGGCTGCCCCTGCCTTAACCTACACTCAGGGAGAGACCTTGTTTGCTGTTCCCAGAATGAGAAAAGGCCACCTTGAGGACCTGCATCAGCTACACGGTGGTCCTGTAATTTCTCCCTTCTCGTGCTCCTTCCAGCTTACTGTCATTAGCCCCAGAGCACTGCATATTCTTTTATTATCTCTAAACCCAACCCACCTCTATACTAGTATTCAACTTTCTTGAATTACTCAGCTTGAGTTTGACATCAGTTTCCTGCTAGGAACCTGACATACAGAAAACAGAGAGGAAACCTTAAAAACCAAAACCCAGCTTTAGCTGGTTTGCTGGACAGAGCCTCGCCCTGTGGACTGAAGGGTCCCGGGTTCGATTCCGGTCAAGGGCATGTTGCTGGCTCGATCCCCAGTAGGGGGTGTGCATGAGGCAACGGATCGATGGTTCTCTCTCATCATTGATGTTTCTATCTCTCTCTCCCTTTCCCTTCCTCTCTGAAATCAATAAAAAATATATTAAAAAAAAAAAATCAAAACCCAGGGTCTGAGGACTAATAGGCAGATGAAATTAGGGTATTCTCTTTGTGACCTGGGGTAAGCTGTTTAGCTCCTATCTTTTGTGAGGATTGAATGAAATAACATCTGAAAAGTACCTCTAACAGTTCCTGGTAGATAGGAAGCATCTGAAAATGTGACTTACAGTATTAGTATTATCATTATGTGGAGCAATAAACATGAATCAGGTGAGGAATCATCTCATTCAGTATGCACAGCCGCCCCAGGAGGCAGGTGGTATCCCATTTACAGATGAGAAATTGAGAGACAGAGTTTCTTTCACAATAAGTACAGTGCCATATCAATTAACCGTGTGTGTGTGTGTGTGTGTGTGTGTGCGCGCGCGCGCGTGCGTGCGCGCACTCTCCCCAATCTCTTATCCACACCTATTATTATTTTGTGGTAGGACATTAATCTACATGTTGCCGGGAAGGTATTTTGCAAACGTGATGAAATGCCATCATCAGTTCACTGGAAGCAGGAGAGCATCCTGGATAACCTGGTGGGCCTGGTTTAATCAGTTGAAAGGCTTTAAGACAGAGCTGAGGCTTCCTTGATGAAGAGCTGCTGCCTGTCGCCGGCAGGCAGCCCACGCCCCGGAGTCCCAGCCTGCCTTTCTTAACGGTTTGCCCTATGGGTTTGGACTTGCCTAGCCAGCCCTCACAATCACATAGGCCAACTCCTTACAGTAAATCTCTTACTATATACCTCTTCTTGCTTCTGCTTCTTTGGTTGAATCCTGACTGATGCAGAGGTTTATGAACAAAGGATGTTCATTGCAGGATTAGTTAAAACTGCTTAAAAATTTAAACGAACTAAATGATGGTTCATAAAAAATACTTAAAGGCATTATGGAACTATCAGTTGAACACATGAGTTTGTTTTAGCTTTCTCCTCAAATCAGATCCTCAAGGAGAAGAGAATAGTAGAGAACACAAAGGCAACACAATCTTGGCAACTCTGAAAGAGCTAGACCAGAGGTAATTTCCTCATGCTGTACTAAACTTGAGAAAACCATCTGTCAGCCGTGGGGGAAGTCCGAGAATCAACCCAATTTATATTGCAGACTACACCAAAGGCTCAGGAATTAATGGCATGGAGCAGTCTATGAGGATCAATATCTGAATAGTAAGAGTTCTACAGAGGCAAAAAAAAAAAAAAAAAAAAAAAAAAAGAAAAGAAAAGAAAAAAAGAAAAGGAAAAAATATTCATGAAAAAGCCAATGAAAATATCCACTAAATTTTCCCTGATTGAAAGCTATAAGTTTCCAATTGGGAAAAAAAAAATAAACCTTTACGCCGAAACCGGTTTGGCTCAGTGGATGGAGCGTTGGCCTGCGGACTGAAGGGTCCCAGGTTTGGTTCCGGTCAAGGGCATGTACCTGGGTTGCGGGCACATCCCCAGTAGATGTGCAGGAGGCAGCTGATCGATGTTTCTCTCTCATCGATGTTTCTAACTCTCTATCTCTCTCCCTTCCTCTCTGTAAAAAATCAATAAAATATATTTTAAAAAATAAAATAAAATAAATAAACCTTTACCAAGTAAGCTTTTAGAACACTGATGACAAAGAGAATTCTAAATGTTCTGGAGCTGGGGGCGGGGGGATTTATAAAATAAAATCCAAATGTTTTTGGACTTCTCATCAACAATAGTTAAAGCTAGAAGACAAGGGAGAAATGTCATCAAAATAGTGCAGGCAAGTAATTTCTAGCATAGAATTCTAAATATAGCAAAATAATGAGAGGAAAAAATAAAGACACTTTTATACATAAAAGTAAAATGTTTACTTTATATGCGCTGTTCCTCAGGAAGCTGGGAGGAGAAGTAGCAGTAAACCCAGGGAAATAAAGAAACGGGATTTAGGAAGCACAGGACACAGTGCAAGGGAAGGTCCAGTACCAGAGGGAGGTGAAGGAAAACCCTAAATGAGGGGGAAGGGAAATCCTTGCTACAGGTCTCAGGAGCAACCAGTGTAGACAGGAGCCGGTCACATATCCTGTGAGTGATTTCCATGGAAATGTGAAAGTGTCAGCTTACCTAATATTTGAAAATGGGGAGAGGAGATCTATTCAACTGGAGGAGAGTTTGGTTGGGGCTGAGATAATGATCATTACTTAGAAAACTTAAAAAAAAAAAAAAAAAAAAGGAAACAACACACCTACTTTTTTGTTTGTTTCCTTTAACGTGGGGGAAATATGAAACAAAATACAGGAAAACAAAGGTCATTGTAGAACAAAACAGGGCTCAGTTGTAAATAGCATTCATGTGATTGTAATAATCTAAATACTGAATGTTAATCTAAGACAATGCCATTGGCTGGGAGAGGCGCTGTGTGTGCATGTGTATGTTGGGGGAGGGAGTTCAGTGGCGAAAAGCCAATACATAAAGCCTAACCATTTTAAAACATTTTTAGAATTTCCAAGATAAGCATATTATTTAGTATAAGGAAATAACACAATAGCCACTAAAAGAATTATAAATGGTTGCCTTTAGGGAGTGGGAAATGAGGTGAAGGACTGTTACTTCTCCTACCTTGTAGATCACGTTGACTATTTCAGTGGTGTGAATGTATAAATTTGATTAGACTATAAAAGAAGAAATCGGAAAGGGAGGAAGGAGGGAAAGAACTAAGGAAGGAGAAAATGAGGAATAAAAAAGAGAAGGATGGAGGGAAGAAAGAATAAAGGGAAAGAAATCATGATGCATCCATACTTTGCAACATTATTATGAGGCCTTCAATAGTCATAGTATTTTAAAAAATTTATTAACATGGGAAGATTTTCACAAAATAATGTTAAGTATAAAGACAAGGTGAAACTATAAATAATATGCACTCTAAAGTTAAAAAAAATCCCCCAAGTCTGTTTTATAAGTTTTGAAATGTTTTATTTCTGGTTGGTTATATAAAATAGATGATATGAATTCCCCCCTTATATTAGCTGGTACTTTTCCAGGGGGTTTAAGTGTGCTTATAGTATTTTTATCCTTAGGAATGTTTTTCATAATTTTAGTTTTGTTGTTGTATGAGTGTTCTTTTGTTGTTTAAAGATTATTGAGGCTTAAAAACAAAACAGGAAAGGGAGGATGGGCACTGGGACCAACCCAGTCCCACTTCTCTAAGTATTTGGAGAAACAGGACTTGGTTCTTGGAGATGTGCATTAAGGTTAGTGCCTGACAGTGGGTCTTTGAGAAAGTGAGTTAAATCCACCCTTTACTAGGACAGCCACTGCTGAGCTCTGATAAAGAGATACCTTTCCTTTAAAAATTATAATTAAACTAGAGGTCCTGTGCATGAAATTCGTGCACAGGTAGGGTCCCTAGGGCCGTTCTGTGGGGTGACTGGTGGGGCAATTGAGGGGGCCCCCCACTTGCACCTGGTTTTGGCCGGCCTGGTGCCTCCCGCTTGCTGGCCCTCCCCCCTGCTGCTGGCACCACTGGTCAGAGCCTGCGGGCTGGGGGCAGCTCCTGCGTTGAGTGTCTGCCCCCTGGTGGTCAGTACGCATCATAGTGACTGGTCGTTCCACCATTTGGTCGATCTGCATATTAGGGTTTTATATAGATAGATAACCCCAAACTCCTGACTTTTCCTTTCAAATAAACAGAAAAATAAAAACTTGTAAGGACATTTCTGCCTGGTTTGCATTCTTAACTGATTAAAATTTGCCCACAACAGAATGAAATAAACTCACCCCTCCCCCACCCCCAAAGCTTCCTCTCTTCCTACTTCAGCCTCTGGCCACTGGCTGGTTAGGACTTCTAAAATCTTCCATTATGGAGAGCCTGTGTGAGTTAGGAAGTGCTACAGACTTTTAAATTCCTGGAATGAGTAGTATCTAGATGAAAGTACGTTAAATATTTAAGCAGATGCTGAAATCAAGCACTTGAGAAAAATCTGACTTAAAATTTTCAGACACTAGACACAATTTCAAGGGATCAATACAAGATAAAAACCCTTTACCTCATGGTTGTAGGCCAAGTGCTGCCCTGCAGTGTCTGGCGGAGACTGGTTGCTGCTCAAAGTCTGCCCGAGCTGACTGCAGGTCCTGAGGACAGAAAGCACAAGAGCTGCTGTTTTTTTATACCAACCACTCAGGGGTCATTAGAGAAAGTCTCAGTCAGCTCCGGAAAAGACTAGCATATCGGGAGGAGGCCCGGTAGGCGGAGAGCAACTGGTATGAAAACCTTTTCTCCTGGTCCCCTTGGCTGACCACCCTCCTGTCGTCCCTAGCGGGCCTGACAATCCTCCTGTTGCTAGGTCTCCTTTTTGGCCCCTGCATTGCCAAATGCCTCCTCGATTTCATACAAAGTCGAGTACACACCCAATACTCCAGAATCTTAGAGGAGGATGCTGAATCAAGGATTTGATTCCCGTAAAAGACCAGAAGGGAATGTAATGAACGCCCCAGGGCTCAGGAACAATAGAAGGTTACAGTTAAATTAGGTCATCGCAGTCTCTGGCTCTGTTGGAAAGACCACAGCTCCCTCTTAGCATTTTTTACAAGCAGGTCACGGTTTAGCCAGGGGTGAAGAGCCTAACCTTTCTAAGGTATGAGCCTGTGACCTTTTGGGGGTATGAGTCTGTAACCTGTGACCTTTCAAAGGTATGAATCTGTGACCTGTGTTGAGAAATGGAGCGACGAACTTTGTGTGTGTTTAGCCAACCGTTTTGTGGTTTTTGTGAATAAAAGCTTACTTCTACATCTGGTCGGGGCTGCAGTTCAGTCCTTGCTACGGCAGGGTGCTGTAACTGCAGTTGCTGGCCAGCTAATAAAGGCTCCTAAATTCTACCCTTTGGCTCTGGTGGTTGTCTCTTACGGATTGCCCCATAACAACACCAAGGGGTTGAGCCAGGAGATAAGCAACAGTAAGCCATGAGCTGCAAAAACACCCATCCTGCCATTCCAAGCACAAAAAGCAAAATGAGTGCTTCTTTTTTCCACTCTCCAAACCACACGCAAAAATGTCCCCTGACTCACCCTGACTGGAATCAAACAAAGGAGAAAATTCTGGGAGACACAGTTCCGTCTAGCCACGTGGACACAGTACAAAGCTCCCACAGTTTACCACTCAATGCTGTTGTTGCCTAACTGAGTCTCTGCTATGTGAGCCCCAGGGCTGGGCCACCCGCAGATTGAAAGCCCTTTGAGCTGAAGAAGGTGGTGAAGAATAAAATGCATTCTTGATTTCCGGGAGGATGGCAGAAGTCATAGCACCAGAAGCCTCTTCTAAAAATAACAGCAGCACCAGCGAACCAAGTCATTCTGCATCTGTGTGTGCTCTGAGGGGAAGGGAACTCTAACATTGTCTATCCCCAGGGAAGTCACCTCCCTCCCATCAGACATGGAAAGGCCCGTGCCTATAGAAGCCCTAGAACCCATCCTCCTTTCTTTAGTATCTTCTCCTGGTCGAAGGCATGCTATGGAAAAGCTCAGCGTGTCCCCTCCTTCTCCCATCTCCCACTCCCCACACTCACTTTCTGCTTCAGAAAACAGAACAAAGGCCCATGTAAAATACTTTTCGCAAAAATCATTGGGTGTCATACATGAAAAGAATCTATGTGGGTCCAGTTACCTGGATGCAGGACTCATGAATGCTCACCTTCCTTGGGGCTCATCCAAGCAGTGTGGGAGGAGATTTAACTGTCGGCTTAGAATGCTGCTTCCTCAGAATGGAAGAAGCCTGATGGGGTGGCGGGGAAGAGCCCCAGTACTTACTTACATGGTGCATGTCTGCCAATTGACTTGAAATCACGTGCTCATTAAAGCCACGGACAGCGTGCTTCCTGCTGTGCTGCAAAGATAAGGCAGGAGCAGTTCTGAATCCCTTTTGTCAGGGGACACCCAGCCCCCACACTCCATCTCTCTCCTTCCTATGCCAAGGAACAAGATGTTCTTACACTGAATCCTGAACATGTGTCAGTTTGTATTTCTCAAAAAGAGAGAAAAAAACGCAATGAAAATAAATATGAAAAAAACTTCTCTCCCAAAGAAGAATTTGGATGCCAGATGTTTAGTTTAATTAAAAAAAGAAAATTCAATTCCTTCAACACTTAATTGCTAAAGAATCCTAGTGTTCTGAAACTGTGGGCTATTTTTGTTATTTTCTTTGATGTTTTCGGTATTTTCTAAAGTTTCTGTGTGTTCTTTTTCAAATAAGAAACTTAAAAGAAAAATGGCGTGTTTTTTTTAAACACTGACTTTTGTGGAGGATGTAGAAGGCAGCTTCTGTGGAGGAGGAAGGTAGACTGGCCAGCAGGAACCAGCTCAGGAGGGGCAGGTGAGTAAGCCAAGCTCGCCCCCTGGTGGGACAGCCTGTTAGCTCCCTTCGCTACTCTATGGTTCCCTTGCAGAAAAAAGCTCCTTGACAGCGGTCTTGGCAATGACCTTTTGGATATGGCACCAAAAGCACAAGCAATACAAGTAAAAATCAACGAGTGATACTACATCAAACTAAAAAGCTTCTGCACATCCAAAAAAACCGACAATCAACATAATGAAAAGGCAACCTGTGGAATGGGGCAAAATACTTGCAAACCATATATCTTGTAAGGGGTTAGTACCCAAAGATATAAGAAACCCATACAACTCGATAGCAAACACACACACACACACACACACACACACACACACACACACATTTAAAAACTGGGCATAAAATCTGAATAGACAGTTTCTAAAGAAGACATACAGACGCCTTACATATACACCCCTATAAACCACCTCATTCCCCCTGTCTTCTGTAAAGCTTTATTTTTATAATAAAAGTATGGGTCATCCACCAGTCATTATGGATTACAATGGCCCAAAGCAGGAAATGGGGAAATCCCCCCCTACCTGGGTGAAGGAACTCCTTGGTTGCATTTTCCTTTATTCATTCATTCATAGATGACAACCTGGATCTAATTAGCCTGGCTTTCATTTTGGGCCACACCACTTTCTATCTTTGTACCTTTCTACATTGGATTTGGGGGCAATAAAGTTAACCTTTCAAAGCCTTACCTGTGAAATGAGGATGTGGATGTAGTTTTGAGGATTGAATGAGACACTGTGTAAAGGACTTAGTCCAATGTCTGGTGCTCAGAAATGTTGCTAATCTGATGCTTATTTCTCAATGCTCACCTCACTCAGGTATCATTGGTACTGGCTCAGGCTACTCATATTCTTTCTTGATTTTTTTTCTTTCCACTTAGTGTCAAGTACAACACTCAATTGTCCTCCAACTTCACTGTCTTCTCAGCTTTTCAATCTTCTGAATCTCTATATGTCTCCCCCATCAGAGATAATCCAGTCTCTTTAAATACCGTCTCTAAGCTGATTATTCCCAAATTGTATCTCTGGCCTGGAATTTGACTTTGAACACTAGACCTATAAATCCTAGTGCTGACTTTTGCCATTTTGTCCCCAGGTTCATCCCCCCTTCCTTTCTCTGCTCTACTTGTATTACGGAGGGGTCTGACCCTGCAGGCTGCATTTCTTAGGCTCCTGTGTCAGCCAGCTACAGGCTACATTTGACCCACAGCAGGGACTGGTGGGAGCTTGGAGGACAGGAGGAAGGAAAAACCATGGCATTTTTTAGATCCCCTCGTTCATCCTTGGTCAGTGTCTGAGATGGCAGATGCTGCTGCTCAGCGCTGCAACCTGTAGTCTCTGTTGACCTTATCTTCCCCCAATGCCTGAGTCCTTCCAGCTATTGCTAATCTGCATGGGCCTCCCTAAACCCTGTTGCATTGCTGTGTAACCATTTCCTTGCCGGGAGCCGGTCCATCCTTGCTGCTTGACACAGGCGCTGCAGGGAAGAAACATCTGCACAGCTTATGTTTCAAGGGACCTGGCATATATGACATATGTTTGCTCCCCCTCTTAAGCGCTATGTGTTTTAACCAGGACCACCTCCCCGAGAAAGGTTGTTTCCCCAGGCTAGGGGTTAACAGGACTAGGAAGAGAATAAATCAGTAAATCCCTCTAGTGTTACAGAAATACCATGTACTACTTATGAAGAACTTGGACTAAGACTGTTGGCAATAAATTTGGGACTTGTTGGGCCCACATCCCCAGGGTTCTGCCCACCAGGGAAAGCACCAAAGCCTATACCCCTGGAGACCCACTGACACAGGGCAGTCACAGGGAAGGCAAGCAGCGAGGCTGGGAGGACATAAACTTTACTGGGTAGGATAAACTCCTTCAGTCACTTCCTTGTAGCTTATCAGTAGAGCAATAGAATAGTGACCTTGGAATAGCCCTTGTAATGGAACACAGAGATTAACCTAGACAAGATTAAGAACAACAGAACTAGATAGAGACAGGATTTTTGGCTAAGGTTAGATAAGAAACAAGGAACTGTAGAACATTACCCAAAACATACCATGATGTAATTGTAGAGGCATGCTTATGGGATCAAATAGTATAAATATAGATGTAATAGCACAATAAAGAGAGAACCCAACCATGATGATCACCTGAATGCTGACTCCGTGTTATTCCTTCATCGCCGACTCCGTCCACACCTTTGGGAACCCCTGGACCCACTGGGGCTGGACCCCAGTATTTCCTCTGTTTGGAATACCTAGAACAGTTTTGTTTCCTGATGGGGCCTTAGCAGGCGAGAGTATTTAGTAAAACGGCAACCCCATTTTACTAAACCCATTCGCACCATCCTTGACACCACTTTCCCTCTCATACCTGTATCCAACCACCAGCAAGTGGTGTTGGCTCGGCTTTAAGAACATACCTAGAGTGGAGTATTTTTCTTCACCTCTACTGTTCTCACCACCCTAGATCAAGCTATCATTAACTCTCACTTGGTTTATTGCAGTGTCTTCCATAGTTTACCCTAGCAGTTAGAGTGGTCTTCCCTAAACTCTAAACCAGATTATGTTGCCTTTCTATGGAAAACCTTCCACCAGCTTTTCACCTTGTTCAGAAGAAAAAGCAGTCTTTACCATTGGCCCTTAAGGTGCTAACTACCACTAGGACTTCATTTTCTACCACTCTCACCACCCACGTTCTGTTCCAGTGACAATGACCTCACTGCTTTTGCTAGAACCAACCAGGGATATTACTGCCTCAGGGCCTAATATCCTAATTGCACATGCTATTCTCACACCCCAGAATGTGAGAATGCTTTTCCTCCAGCATCAACATGGTTCTCAATCATTTTCCTACTTGTGTTTAGATGCCATTCATCAGAGGGTCCTTTTCTGATTACCTTATATGTAACATTGCATGCTCTTCATTATCCCTTTACTCTTTTGTTGTTGTTCTTCATGGCACTTTCTACTACTTTATATTATATGGTTAGTTGTTCGTGTGTCTCTTCTCATTCGAATGATAGCAGGAGGGCCGGACCTCGTTTGGTTGGCTGCTATACTCCCAGTTTCTCAATAATGCTTGGCATATTTAGTAATAAAAACAAAATGGACAGCAAGATTGCTTTGCATCAGGCCCAATGCTAAATGCTTAATTTGAAGCAAAGGGTGCCGGCCCCACTGGAGCTCTCGGTGCAGAGCCCAGAGACCAGAGGATTGCTGCCTGCAGGTAGAGCAGGGGCTGCCGCGGCCTGGGAGGCGGAGCCCTGCCGCCGCACATCTAGGGCCCGCCCACAGCGCATGCTCCGCGGGGAGGGCGGCGGGGGCGGGGCCTTCAGCCGGGGCGGGGCCTTCAGCTGGGGCGGAGTCTCCACCTTCAGCCGGGGCGGGGCCTTCAGCCGGGGCGGGGCCTTCAGCGGGGCGGAGTCTCCACCGCACCGACCGCTGCTCCGATTCGCGGCGCTAGCAGCTTCAGCAGGTCGTGCACGCCCGCCCTCGGGTCGGCCTGTCTCCGCCCCCGCCGAGCCCCTCCCCGAGCCCCTTCCCGAGCCCCTTCCAGAGTCCCGGCCTCTGCGAGCTGGCACTGCGGCTTTGCACAGCGACCCGGGAGGACGTCCCCAGGTGAGTCCCCGCTGCTCCGCCAGGTGCGGGGGCGGCAGTTCGGGTCAGCCTGGGCCGGTCCGCGGGGAGGGTCTCGCCCGGCTCCCGGGTCTCAGTCCCGCCGTCCCTGAGCCTCTGCAGGCCGGCGGCAGCACCCTCTGCGCTCGGCCCGCGAGTCCTGCCCGAGCACCAGCAGGTGGCCTGAGGCACTTCCAGTGGCCAGGAGTAGGGAGCCCTCTGAAGTTGTCCGCCCTCCCCGGTGCCCTCCAACTCCCAGAGCCTTCCGACTGCGATGATTATTGATTATTGATTCCCAGCTCCCCTTCTTCCTCCTCCTCCTCTACGCCCCGTTAGCTCCTTCAGGCAGCCTGCCCGACCTAGCTCAGAGCTTGGTCGAGGTGGACTTTGGCATTGATCCTGGTGAAAATTAAGGCGACACTACTTAGCCAGTTGTCACTTTGCTCTCAGTACTTAACTTGGGTGAACCTCAGTTTCCCGAAAAAAGGATGGAAGGGTACTGCATAAAGTTGGTAGGAGAGTAATTAACATCGTAAGTCCCAAGACCCTATAGCAAGATATTTTTGTTGTTATTATTATTATAAACCTACGTGGCAAGCTGTTTTGGAGCTTTTCTTCAGCCACTGAACTGTTGGACTGTCCCGATCCCATATTGCAAAATTTGCATTGTGCATCTGATATGTGAGTGGCACTTGGTTGGGTCCTAGTTGAATCAGACACCCACTCTGCCTTCAGGCTGGAGTGAAATGAAGGCAGACAAGCATTTCATTGGATTGTTGCAATATGGAAAGGACGGAGGGAAAGTTGCTAAGGGAGCCGAGAAAAGCACTGGGTGTCCAGCTGTGGAATGCTCCCTG